AAATGGATTGTCTTGTGGGCTCAAAATACTACAGTGTTTGGGCCCTGAATATTCAAAGTCTTACCCTTAATTGTGCAGATTTTTGGCTGCCTTCGTTTCTGTTGATGCAGATTTTCAATGCTTTTTCTGAAGTTTAGGAGAGACATGCAGAATAGCCTTGGAAGGGTATTTCTCATGAAACCTCACATTCCAAGTGTACATGGGAGTCAGCAAGCCATTTGCAGAGTTGTGACAGAAACAACCTGACTTTTACTACAACTTTTACCAAGCTACCTTGAGCAGTAGGAAAGAGAAGATTGTTTTAGGAAATTTGAGCAGCATTAAGTTGAGGAACAAAAGGTGAATACCAAGAGGTTTTGAAATAATCAGATTGGTAATTACTGCAATATTAACAAGAGCTTTACATCCACTGTGAGCTTTTCCTCAGCGATTTCATTTAAAGTATCTCCGTGTGAAGATATCAATATCCTTCTTAACTCATTAAAAAAATCCTTTTTCTTTAGCACCAAGAGTTGCAGAATATATGTGAATGCTGTCCACTACAAACCTCAGCATCTGTTCATGGAAGATGTCAACGAAATTATCGAAATTGTCAAATAGCACAATCTAAATGTAGAGCAGAAATATCTTCAGCTTTGGTTCACAGATGATGCAATCTCCCAAGACAGCATAAACTTAACCAATTCAGACTGATGTCCAGAACCTCTGGTTGGGAAGGGACCTATATCACGTGTAATAAATGCTTTCTTGGCTTTGTCCTTCTCTCCAGTGATTTCTTCCATGGTGAAACTGTTGCATTCTTAAATGATTTGAAAGAACTGCCTTGGTGTTGATAGCTTTGGCTCCTTTTTTGTGTGTGGTGGTGACAATTCTGAGGAGCTGGAACAGAAATAAAGCTTGCGTTATGGGCAGAAGCTAGGATTGGCTGTGGTGCAGTTGTTTCATGGTTATGTCAGGAAAAGCTTTTTTATATAATATTTTGCTTTAAATACATGAAATACGGAATAATTTTCCTGACTAGAGAATGTAGGATTTTTAGGCCTCCAGATACAAATAAGGCCTCCGCAGGCTTGCGCAGTTACAACAACTGTATGTGCAAATTAGATGCACATTTGCACAGCTGCACTTGTGCTAACGAGCACCTAAAAGCCAGTCAGCCTATCCAATTTATGTTGCCTTGTCTCTGTCAGCCTAGCTTTCACCACCAATTATGGCTAACATCTGTGCCAGTACGCATGTGCATCTAGCTGTAACCCCCTAACACGCTTGTTTATATGCACACATCTGACTTCAAAAAATGTCCTTTGCATTTTTGGAAGCATACATCAGCTTCCTTTTATAATAGCTGTCCTAAGTTATACAATGAGCTGTCTCAATGCTTCATTTGCAAGTTATGAGAAAAACACATGGAGCAATGTAGACTAAATTGTATTAAAAACACAAGTCTTTTTTTCCTCTTGAACTGCAGTTGTATTGTCCCTGATCACAGCCAGGACATGAGCGAGCAGAGAAAATAAAACCATATAGAAAAAGGTTTTATCGTTGATTGTGAATTACAGAAAATGAATATTTATTTTTTTCCTTTATATGAAAGATTATTTTGAAAGTGAACATTAATTTCTGTGACAAGTAAAAAATTTTTGTCATTCAGGGGTAGTTACACATTTTCCCTTGCTCTCTGCCCCCTTACCGCCTTCTTGATCTAAGTCCCCTATTGTCATCTCCCTAGGGCAATATCATGCTGCTCTCTCATTTGTATACTTGCTGGAACTTTCTGTGCACCAGTCATGCTTTTACCCACAAATCCTACGGCACTCTGTTCGTTTGTTTCCCTTCCCTGGAAAACTGTGACCAGCATACAGCACAGTGACCCGAAATACACTATTTTTCATTTGAACTGTAGGAACATAGCATAGCAAGGGGAAAAGTTTAAAACAACAGAAATTGTCCATACGCATCTGTCATGCTGTAACTTGTTCTGTCCTCCAGAGGGGAACTCTGATGGGTTCGTTTTTCTCAGGCATCCACGTCTCTAGTTTACCTTATTTCAAAACACCGGGTCTCATGATCTTTCCAGAATGTGGCCCCCCGAATACCTTTCAGTCTTTGTACTCTCCTCTCTGCCCACTCTTTTCTACCCTGGAAAAAAAAAAAGACAAGCTCAGCAAGGTGGCACAGGTAACTTGCCGTTGTTATTGGTCCTGAATTTCTACTGTTGGCTTCTTAGGTGGATTGCTGTTGCTCTCCTAGGGTTTATCACCTGAGCACCTAGTAACTGAATCAACACATTACAAAAGACAAGAGAGAAGCTCTACGCTACTTGGACAACTAAATAGAACATATTAAGAGAGTATTATAGGTAATTCTAAATCATCACAGTATGTATCAAAACAATGACGTAAATTACATATCAGGAGAACAGGTGTGTACATTCTGAAGTGACTTAAGACTATTTAAATGTTCTGTGAGCTTTTTTATTAAAGCTGTACACACAAATAATGTATAAATTATTAAAATATTAGAGTGTATTAACAAGTGGTTAATGAAGCATAATAGACTTCAAGAGGTTAACAGATTATTACAGTTGTATGTGTAGCCTTGTAGAAGACCTTGATATAGTTACAGCTCCTTGTAACAAATACCAAGTTTACAGTATGCCCTAAAAGAAACACCAAGTTTATAGTATGCCCTAAAACAGCTCTTCATCATTTCGTAGCCACTAATTTATTTATAATGAGACCTAAAAATGCAGGCATCCAGAACTTGACTGGCAAAGGACCAGTGTGGCAGGAAACAAGCTTCTATTGTCAACATTTCTTTATTCTTCTTTAGATAATAAACAACTTTGCATTGGCAAATGTGCAATATAAAACAGTCTTGCACAATCTTCAAACTACCCAGCTCTCGTGTACATGAGAGCTCCAGCTCTATGGATTTTCAAATGTTCCGACTGCTTCCTTCAGAAGAGAAACGTCGTTTCTACTACTGCTATCACTAAGTGCAAAATTAGCACCGAGTAATCTGAGAAGCCCATGTCCAGGTTCTGTCCAATCCTTTCCATCAGATCACATTCATGTGGGAGAAATAGTGATCCCTCAGACCTGCTTGCCTTGTCCTCTTGCAGTTCACCGACTGTTTTTGTGTGGTGGTTTCTTCTGCACAGGCCAGACGAATTAGTATTTTGCGGTCGAGCACAGATTTCCTTTGCCAGAACGTTTGTGTGCATCTGTGAGAAAGTGCTTTTACGCTCCTGCACAGCTTTTCTCTGTGTACGTATCAATGAAGGAGTCGGTCTGAGATGACAACCTGGCTGTCCTCAAACGTGGATGTTATCTGGGGTTAGATGTGGGGAAGGAAGAATAGAGTGTTTCTGGTCCTATGACACCTCTTATAAACTATCCTCATTATCATAGTATCTCAGGGAAAAGCTGTGCATTAAGGGATGTAAGTAACATTTGCTATATGCTGTTTATTTTCTCATGCTGGCTTTGTTTCACGTGCCATGGGATGTCTCTCTTGGGCAGTGTACTTTTTCATCTGGGAGAGGAGAGGGCTGTTTGAATGTAATTATTACTGTATATAAATATATTGTGAAGGATGCATGTCAGAGGAAATCACTTTGCACTTGAAGCAGAAGGTGGTGAGATTTACAATGATTTCTAAGTTCTCCGGGGAGTTGATTCTGCAGACTTGGCCTGGCACCCGTGACAGTTCTGGATGTGCACAGACAAGTTTTGCCTGTACTGTACAGTCTTAGGCTCTCAAAGAGCCAAGTTGTTGACCACAGAATTCAAACAGATTTTCTGAACACTTTGTTGTTCTCAGTACAAAATAAAATTGTTCCAGGTGGGGGAGATACTACCTGTGAAAATAAAATTACAGTGCTGGGCAGCAAGTGAGGCTGTGCTCTGCACTGTCTAGAGGCAGTCTGGATTTATCCAAGTATTTGCTGTCTGGGACAGTTCTACACAGCATGAGGTTTCTGGCTGCATAACCATCTGCAATTCTTGGATTTTGTATCTGCTTAGGGCTTTTTTTCCTCTCTTTCTCTTTTGGTGGTTTTCTTTCCCGTCCTCACTTACTCTGCCCGATTCTCAGAACACCAGGCAATCTTCACAGAAACAGATGCTAAATAGTCTGTAGCAACAGTAAAGGAGCACCTGGATTGCTGTATTTTAACAATGTTTCTATTTTCAAATAAATTATCTTGTATATATTTTAGTAAATGGTAATAGAAAGAGAGGTGACACAATAAAACAAATTAAAAAATCAAACTCTGCATCAGCATTTCAGACATGGACTCTGACACCAAATGAAGAGCTGCTTTGGTCTGCTTCAACTTGTGTAGTCTAGCCACTGGAGAGAGGCAGAAAATCAGAGTGTAACTATTTCTCCTGTGCATTTCCCCTTGCTCTTTGAGGTTCACAGCCAAGGAGACTTTGAACAGCACTCATACGTAAGCCTGTGGTTTGAAGATACAGTCTGCAGATGAGTGGGGGCTATTTTAGAAGGATTTTTCATCCTGTGATTTCTGCAGGTTGGCCGACAGTGCCAGAAATATGGCCCCACCTGCTCCAGTTTGCTTGCTTTGGGGTGGCTGCGGCTAACGGCCGCTGTGGTCTGCGATAGCCTTTGTTCCACCAGAACAAGGAGCGCCCTGGAGAGGGACACATTGGCAGCGGGATTCACAGCATCCCTCTGCTCTTGCTTCCCTTGCAGGCCAGAAGAACCTGACCCATAACTTTTTGTACAGTTATTGACTCAAATCTATCCCTGGTGTTATCCCTCTTCTGACTTAATAGTCTGTATTTGGCTCATTAATGTTTTAATGACATTCTTCTTGAAGAGAGAATGCTTTGTGGAAATTGCAGATTTATGGTGTTTCTAGGAAGATAGGTTTATTTCCAGCTAATATGAACCACAGCTCACTGGGACTAATGTAATGCAGCCTGTGTTACAAGTGTGATTAGTTTTATATCCTATTTTCTTTCCCCCCTCAGAGGATTATGCCCAGCTGTGCAACATTCCGGTTCCAGGATCTCGAAGGCCATATGGACAAGATGCTTTGGTTAACTTCGAGGAGCACTACACTCCAGAAACTAATCCATACTTTGTTGAAGACCGTAAGCAAGTTTCTCTGTTATGTAAAATACTTGAAATGAGGCTTGTAACTTGGATTATTTCCCTGTAGCTGGCTTCATTCTTCTGTTTGCTTCTGAGTAATGTGGCCTATTTATGTTTTAGTTATTCCTATGACACTAGCTTTCAGTCAGGTGTTCTGGTTCAAGAGCCAGTGTTGTATAAGAGTCCAGTTGGGCTCAGAGGACAATATCAATTTTTAATATAGTGAAATAGTTTGTGCCAAGTGTACTAAATTTGTATTTACCAACAGATTTACAGCTAAAGGTCAAAAAGGATTGCCAATTTTCCTCCTCACAAATTAATTTTCCTTGGGAGCATGGGACAGATTTCTTGGGAGTGCATTTAGTTTTTTTTAAAAAAAAAATCCCTTTACGCCAGCTTTCCATGATTTTCCAGCAGAATTTATATGGGGGAAATGGAGACCGTGCAAGTCGTTCTCGCTCGACAGAAAATGTCCAGCAGAGTGTGATCAGAGAGTATGCATGCATACAGCCTTCAGGCTAGATGGAATGGTGTGCCAAGCAGGGTGTGAGGGATTGTATACAGCATCTCAGTGGTACTTGAGGAATACCAGGGTTCTTTACAGGTCTGGCCCAGCTCACTGCTAAGACCTGTGGGAGAGGAATGCTTACAGATCTGAGCATCTTCCTTAAAATCAGCCGCCCTGTACAGCCCAGTATATTTCATCACAGTTTTAGAGAAGAAAAGTGGAGGTATCAGAAGGAACTGGTAACTTCCCGTGCTTTATACATATGGCCTACAAGTCGCCACTACGCTCTTTACCAAAGTGCTTCTCCTGTACAAGGAGTGATTTTTAAAGTAAGAGTAATAGGTCAAAACAGGGCAGGAGGATTACAGCACCCAATTAGAAGGGTGACACACATTTCTCGCACACATTGCACTTCATACATTTATAACGAACTACACAAATCAGGTTAATGAGTTCATTTCTATTTAGCATCTAAATGACCTTCTAGCTCTACACAGAATTGTAATATGTCTTATTTCTTTATATCCAGATGATTTTAATTAAACAGTACTGAGTGTTGATGTTTAATTGAAGTGTCACACAGATGAAAACTACCAACACAATGAAGAGCCCAGAAAGATGGCTGGGTAACCAATGTGATCGATAAAATACTGTGATCAATGAAATACTGAGTGGGAAAGAAGCACTTCACAAGTTACAAGCAGTGGTGAATAAATACGATAAAATTGTGGACAGTTTTGAATCCATAGCTGAGTCCACTCTCTTGGGGACAGAGACTTAACAGCTCATGTGTCTTGCTCCCATCCTATCAGATACAATGGCAAGCAAATGCGTAGGAAACCCCCAAAACACAGCTATATGACTGTGTCCTGACGAGAGGCATATTCCCCTACAGATACAGTTGCCACATGTCTAGGGCATCAGAGACTTCAGGGTCACAAACCTGCTGCGGTCTGTATGAGGAATACAACTGTACTGCCCATCCTGCGGCAGGGCCACAGACTTCAGTGTAGTATTTGTCACCTGTGCGCAAGCATCTTCTACAGAACCAAACAGGCATATTAGAATTACAAGCCGGGTCCCATCCAGCTGTTTTGAAGTACAATATTTTGTGAAGCAGAACTTGCTGTGAGTGATAAATATTTTGGGTTTAGCTAGTTAAAATTACAACATATTGTATTTACGAGAGAAGAGGGGGAGGGAAAAAAAAAGTATATAGGCATGTACATATGCTTATGTACACACATATGTATGTACATACGTACTATATGTCAAACAAATTATGTCTTTATTTTAAAAATACCTGTGTGTTGGGGGAGCACATTTCCCTTTCTCGGCACTGTTTGTTTTCTAAATTAGCAAAGGTCTTCACTTTAAAGGACCCTCATAAGCCCTGTGCAAGCCCTATTAAAGGACTTGAGAACATAATGAAACTTGGTCAGGTTTGTTGCTACATTGTTACTATACATCATGACAGTCTGCTCAATATCCTCAATACTATTGCACCAAGATGTGATTTACTAGGTTCGTAGAAAAGACTGTAATGTTCCCCACTTAACATACACTTGTATACATCCTATGTATTATATACGTTCTTGAGATGTGGCGTATGTTGGCAAGTACTTATGTCATATTATGTGTTCAGCGTCTCCAGAATTTACTCAGCGTATAACTGACCGGCATGATCCTTAGTAAGAATCCCACCATGCTAGAGAAAATCCAGGACAGAAACAATGTATGTAGTCACAGAGAGGGGGAGCAGAAAGGACAGGACAGAAGTCAAATGGAGGATGATGCAGAAAGGGCAGAGCAGGAAAGCCAAAGCAGGACAGGAGAAAAGAGGGCCTCAAGAACCAAGGCAGGAGAGAGTAAATATAAAAAGACATGAGAACAAGCACAAGGAAAGGGAGACATTCATACTCCTAGGTAGCTTTGCAAATCTACATGTCACAACTGTTGTAACAATATAAATCAGTAAACAGGTTTTAGGTAAACCAGTGGTTTGCTTGTGGAGTCACTATATTAATGATATGTTACGGGGCAGATGGGGAGATGTATCCTACTCTATTCCACTTCAATTTCCCCTCCATTTCTATGCTATATATTCATTATGCCGGTAAACCTATCACTTTCAAATGTTCTCAAATTTTTCTCAAAAGGCTTTTTGATGTGATGGGCTGCCATCTGCAGTCCTGTTATGTCACTTCTCCACAAATAGAAAGCTAGTGAAAAAACTTGTGCAGGACTCACAGGAGCAATTAATTCAGTCCTAGAGAGAATCTCTGAACATGTAAAAATGTCAAATAATTTTGAAAGTATAAATCCTTTCTTACACCTACTCAAAAAAGCCCTAAGATGGGGAGCACAAAAGGCATTGTACAAACCACTGAATACAAAGACAACTCTTTACCTTTGACTACTCACCATCTAGAATTATGACAAGGAGCAACTGGTAGATTATAGGTATTTGTGCTGGCACCGGTCACTGAAGTACAAGCCAAAGGGTTGTTAACCAAAACCACAACAGGAAAGCAGTCTCTGATGTCTTCTTACTTTCCTTAAGGCAGTTGAGATTGACTCTTTTTTTTTAATATGTTTTCTTCTAGTTAAATTAGAATGCATCTCTTCCCCCTTACACACACCTTATTTTTCTACAATAGTGTTTTAAGGAACTTTTACCCCAAACTGCACTACCGCTTCTTACCTTTGTTTCCATAAAGGTTGATACACATAACAATTCAAATAAAAGGTGCTATTTAGAAAACACTGATTTATCCTTTAAAAAAAATACTGTCAAATTACACAGTTTCCTTTACCAAAAAAAAAGTCACAGATTTTTAACACAAATTAAAAACTTAAGAGTTCACAAAGTTATTCAGTTTTCACCTTGAAACATATCACAGCATTTTTCTAGTGCATTTAAATCTCCAGATGGTGTAGATCGGCTAAAGCTGACCTATTTTCTGCAAAGTCAAGTCACATTCCAGTAAACTTCTGAGAGAATTTCAGACTCTCGCTATACATTTGGGTATACTGATTCAACAGCTCTGTAACTTACTTGTTTGCAATTCTTTCTCCACCCAGGTTTTCTGAACAGCTTTGAGGAGTTACAAGCAGAGGAATGTGGTATTCTGAACGGATGTGAAAATGGCCGATGTGTAAGAGTCCAGGAAGGCTACACCTGTGACTGCTTTGATGGTTATCACCTGGACATGGCCAAAATGACTTGTGTTGGTGAGGATAGCAGATTACTACTTCTTCTGTTAGTCTGTCAGTTTACTCAGCCACTTGACCTAAGGAGGGGCTGGAACAAAGGGGTTAGAGATGATCACCTCAGTTGTAGTAAAGATGCCAACTTTGTTTGATTTACTGCAAAGGCAAGTAAATATTGTTACAGAAACAACTATGTTGGTGTTCCTCAGTTCATCTTCATCATTACAGCTGCTCTCAGTTAAGAGCCTAGAAATGAGCGCGCACACACACATTTGTGTAATGAAGCTTAAACTTATCTCAATAATTTAACACTAATATATGGAACAAATGTTTTTCAAAGACTTTAGTGAGCTGAGAGGATGGAACTGGATCCAGAGTAGAAGAGTAATTTTAGGAGCAGATTTTCAGAGCAGTTGAATCACCTAAATATGGAGATAACCACTTGGCCCCTGATTCTCACTGATTTCAGCAGTCGACAGACTCGACTATTCCCCTCACTCTCAAAGTAGTAAATCTGCACAACTGCTAACCAGGACATCTAATCACTGTGTCTTCAATTAAAGCAAGAAAACACGGGAATGGCAAGTGTCAGTGAGACGATGAAGCAAAACAATACTCCTCAGTGTAGAAGCCTAGTAGAGACCGTGCATGGGTATTTCAATTTAAGGTCTGTACTAACCTTGCTTAGCATTATGCTTTGTAAACCACAGCTGAGGTCTCCCAGCTGTATCATGATAAGCTTGCTGTGTAATCCTTAGGACTTTATGGCAAGCTGGCCTCCTTAGCGAGAAAAGATGGAGCTCCTCTGTATTTCAGGCCAATGCTGCACAATATTGAGTGTAGGTAGTTTGCTATTCACAACTATTTTGTGACAACACCAACAGCTCCTAAAGTATTTTATTTTTTAAAATACAGATATCATATTAAGGACTTGGGAGCTGCTTTCTTATAAGCCGCTTTTCAGTCATGAGATAAAAACCTGTAAGTGGTTATTAAATTTTTGTTTTGCAGCTTAGGCTGAATTTGGACTTGGTAATCTAAAAGTTCAAGGCCATTTAGTACACTATTAATTTCCTATGATAACTTCCACCTGATCCCAGCTTATCTGTTACAGCTTTTGACCCAGCCTAATTCCACCCGATCTGAACTGAAAACAAAGTTTTCAGTGTATTCATACAGCATGTTCTACTCCTTACAATGCTGGAAATAGATGAGTTTTACCTACACACCAGACTTCAGTACGTGTCTTTTGATCTCCCCTTTTTGCAGATGTGAATGAGTGCAATGAGCTGAACAACAGGATGTCTCTCTGCAAGAATGCCAAATGCATTAACACGGAAGGTTCGTACAAGTGTTTGTGTCTCCCAGGGTACGTACCTTCAGACAAGCCAAACTACTGCACACCACTGAACTCAGAACTAGACAGTGAACTGGAGTAGAGGAAAATCTCCATATCCTAAGCCCATATACTCTGCACTGTATAAAGAAAAGGAAGAAAAGTATTTAACTTGAGAAGAGAAGGCACCGGAGTAGCAAACTTGAGGGGGGAGAAAAGCATTAAAATGTGTCAAAGGTGAGACATGATGGGCTGATTGTATATCAGCTTCACTGAAGTGACAGACCAAATGGACACATTACTCTGTATGAAAGAAACAATCAAGTATATAGTGTGTTCATAAGAAAAAAAAAAAAAAGTCTTTGAAAATAAGCAAAAACAGTGCTGTTATTTTAAACAGAAGAGCTTTGGTTTTTTGGTTTGTTTGTTTTTTTTTTTTTTTTACTATTGCTTGATTAATTTGGCATTTAAATAGTGATGGAAATATTTCATATTACTATGTCATTTTTTGATTGTTCAGTTCCTTGCCTACTGTTTCTTTTCAGACCTTTTTTCTGATCAGTACAAATTCTATGATACAGATACTCTTAGGCCATTTTATAAGAACTGTTACACAGGGTAATGCTCCTCCTTCTCTGGAACATAGGTCAGTGACTTTTTTTTTTTTAATTTGCTAGTTGTCTGCCCTGTGGAGCAGGCACCATTTGTTTTCAAATGTTTATATACCTTGGCGAAAAGTGCTTATATTCATTTTGTATTCTGTATGGTTGTTACTGCACTTAAAGTCTTTAGAACCTTTCTTGCCAAGTTCAAAGCTGCTAGTGGACAACATTGGATTCCTTTTGTACATTAAAACAAAAGATTTTAGCTCACGTCTGTATTGTAATGTGTAAATTGAACACAAGAGAGATCTTGTATGATTACCCTAACATATTAAAGCTGTATATTAAAACTCAATAAAATCACCTTTTTTTTTAGAAAAAAGCCATTTACTAATTGTAGGCTTTTTTTTTTTTCTTTTATTGGTGTCTCTGTTACAAGAATCAACCCCTCAGGTGTTTACAGTGCTAGAATTAATTTACATTGCAATCGTTGTAGGGAGTTGTCTGGCTGGTTTTTCCTTTCCATGCTGTTTTAATAAGACCAGACTCTGAATTAGTTAATGCCTGAAGTTAGACTTCCAGAGGGAAGATTTCAAACACAGACCTACAGAAACTGTTTGACTTGGAAGCTGATTCCCATGGAATTTTTCTTCTTTCCTGGTTTAGGCGTGTTTCCCACTAAATCTGCAAATAAGGCTCTTCAGTATGATGGCCTGGTTTTCAGAAAATACTGAAGAGAAGGGGGAGAATTTCCTTTTCTTGAAGAACTGTACCTTCCCATCAGCTCTATTTTTCAGTGGAAGGAAAGAAAGAGATTAGGAGACTGACAGATGTTTCACTTTGACCTTCTACAGAGTGAAAGAGTTTGCTTTGGAAATCCTGAAACCAGTCCTTTTGATATTTTCCAAATGTAACATTTTTGCTGTGTCTTTTAGACCTGCCCTGCATTAAAAGGAAAAGGATAACATGAGACTTTAAAAAGTGAGTTAAATTGGGTCCAATTGTCCAAAAATTAGATTTTTATTTCTCGTTTCACCAAAAAAAGAAATACTTGTTTTGGTTCCAAATCAAATTTCTTTTCCAATATTTAGGTCAGCCACTAAACCAAAAATATCATAAGTGGTATTCCTTTCAGTACTGCGCACTCAGTAGATCTCATTAAACCCCATGTGTCTGTTAATGTGCAGAAGCATCAGTCCTTCCCAGGGCCTCTCCTCTCTGTCTGCTGGAATTTGACACTAGGACTAGTGAAGATATTGTATGTTTAAGATCTGATTGTATGTTAAAATAAAACGGGGGGGGAGGGATCTTTAAGGAAGAGACTCTTTGTAAAGTGCCCAACTCCCTTGACTTTTGTAGAATTAAGCAAGAGAGGGGTGGAGGGCCAGTTGCTTTTCTCAGTCAAGAGAGGTAGACTACAAACAGTAGAGCTGGTCTATAATTAAAATAAAAATAAAATTAATTCTTGCTTACCCACTGAATTTAAGGAAGAAGGAAGGAAGGTCTGGTCTTACTAGGGAATTCCATAACTAAAGAGCTCTTAATTGTTCTGCTTTAAGGTTAATCCTAAGATCTTAATAAAAACCAAAGTCACAGTTACGACCTTTCACTGGATTCAAGATGAGCTCTGCTTTCAGCTGCCATGAAAATTCATAGACAAGACAGTGCTTCCCCCACTCCCACCTCGAGATGGCCGCCTCCTGCTTCAGAAACTGGCTGTGTTCACCTCGGAAAGACAGCCTGGGCCCCAAAGCTGCCACTGCAATCAGCACCACAGCCACAGATTTTCAACATCCCAATACTCCTTCAATCCTTCCCCAGCTAGGGAGTTAAAATGGCAGTACGAGTCTCTGCTTTTCCTGGGAGTACACCAGTATGACAGCTGAGGAAGTAACACTCAAACTTCAGTACCCTTAGAATTCTGCCTTCGCTTGGGGACAAACACTGTACTGAACGTGTAATTCTGAGCCACAAGATTGGCTCCTTGCTGATTCATTACATCTTTTTAAAACAAGTTTAGAATAGCCTGGGACTTTGCCATTTTCAGATAATATACACTCCGACCCCCTTACTTTGTGTTATTTCAGTCAAAAAAACCAATCCAGACCTAAGCTGTTCCATGAGCAACAAAACTACAATGAAGCCTGGATTCCTAGAACCTTTCCTCGTAACTCTCCTCAGCAGACTAGCTCCAACTCCTTGCATCTCTGCCACTCTCAACAAGAACAGGCAGCACCTGTCTGCAGCTGTGGGTGCCAGGACAGGGTGACGGATGCAGATGCATTGACACAACTGTTCCCAAACCAAATGTTGTCCGTGCTTTCAGCAGGGAGGGTTAGTTGGGTCATTTGTCTCTAGCTGTGCATCAAACTTCCCAGACCTCAGATTGTATTGGCCTTTTCGTCTTGTTTGCCTTACACACATGATTGAAATTGGTCGTGGGGTTAAAAGCTACCAGTAGGTTCAGAGAAAGGCAGCATACGCTGGCTCTGGTTCCACAGAAAACAAACCAACCAGCAAACCTAAGCCTAAGTGGCCTCTTGACCTATCAACTTCTGTTACCAGCAATTCACAGAAGAGGTTTCGGTGTGTCCAGCCACCTTCCATCTCCCCTGCCTGATTCAAGAGGGCAGCAGTTGACCCAAGGCCTGAATGGAGCTTGAAAACATTCTTCTGGTCCAATAGCCGTGTCCTCATCACAGCCACACTCTTCTATTACAGACACTATACAAGCAAACAACATACTTTGTGCATGCTTCTGCCTTTCCCTTTTGCCTCTTCTTACCTCTAGCAGGCCTTAAAACACACACAGTGAGCCCAAAGCAGACCAAACTCCACTTACAGTGCTTAGTATTCCACGTTGCCTGGCTCCAGGCCTTCAGAAATGCTTTAACAAAGGAACCACAACTGAAGGAATTAAGTGAAATTCAGCCCATCTGACCTCAGCCTCTGGAGCCCACCTACTTTGCCCCAGTGTAGCAAGGCTGGTTCTGTCATTTCACCTGAAAAGCTGCAGGGCTTAGGAATACAATTTTGATTCATAGTTAAGCAAACATTTTCTTAACATCATTAAGAGGAGGGATTGGACACCATGGAGGTAGCCATTTACTTGTTACAAGAGCTGCGGTTTAGGTGAGAGCCCTCAAAATACAGAAACCACCACGTACAATTCCGTGATTCAAATTTCTGAGCGCAGCAGAATCTGGAACTGATTACAATTTATACCAAATGGCACCAATACTTTTTACATCCATATGGACCTTTTAAAAAAAAAATATTAGTCCTTTTTCAGCCAGCCATTTCCTTCTTACAAAAAATAAAATCGCTGACATGGGAGAACTGAATTCTGCTAGTTCCCTTATAATGCTGCTGTGTTAATGAGAATGAAGTTACCACAGAACTAGTTACACACATTTCAGCTAGAAAGACATTTGATATGAATAGATACTTTCATGTTGGGATGCTATTCAGTGAAAAATTAGCCAATGTTAAAACCATTCAAAGGGAGCATTAACATTCCTTGGGGAAAAAACAGTCACAGCTGGACAGAACATTTCAATCCAAGAGACAAAACTGACAATCATGACAAATATTCAGCTAGTCAGTGGCAACTGACACACTCAAATAAATTCCTGACTAAAGAGAAGTCCTAAAATGCTAAAGGCGTCAAAGTGGTTGTCATGACCTATTAGCTCACAGTGAGCCTTACCCTCACGGGGGTTTGAACCTGAGTTTGGAAGCAGAGGGGC